AGTCTTCAAACGGCATGATGTTTTCTGTAATAGTGACTTGTTTCATTTTATATATTTATATCATATACATAGATATATTTGAGAAACGAAAACATGTACGTCGAGAATTGCTAAAAAGGGTTTTAAAAATCTAACTACACAATCACAGAATGGCCACATGAAAGGTAGATCAACTACGTTAAACTTATTGACAATTACGCAATATACAGCAGAATCGATAGACAATAAGCAACAATTTGATGTTATTTACATGAATTTTAGCAAGACCTTCGATAAGTTAAACCATCATCTTCTAGTAAATAGCCTCCATTATTTCGGCAAATCATGGTGTTTCCACTGGCCTGCCGCTAGGATCGAATCTAGGCTCTTTGCTGTTTTTATTCTCCATAGATAACCTTGCCGCTTCACTAAAGTGTCACAATTTACGATGTACCAATAATCTGAAAATCTACGCCAAAATGACAAATTTAGAGAACTGTATTTCCCTTCATGAGTGTCTAGATTCTATCACGCGGGGTGATAATAACTTTCTTCTGTTAAACATATCTAAGAGTAAAATTGTTCATAATGTCGCAAAATGAACTCGATTATTCTTTATTACTCCATATTCGGTATATAGGGAGAGAACAACGGAGACTAAAGATCTTGGTGTAACATTTTCCTGTAGGTCGGACTTTTCTGTCCATATCGCACGCATCCCTTCCAAAGGAACACGGACTCTAGATTTTATAGTGCGTAACTGTCAATCTCTTTCCAACGACGCAACACTTGGTTTTATTTCGTTGGTGGGACCAAAACTTGACTACGCTTCATTGATATGGATCCCATTGTATCAATATTGTATGAATATCTTAGAAAATGTACAAGAAAAAATTGATTAAATATTGTATTTATAAAATTGATGGAGTATATCGAATTTATATAACTCTAACATAACTCTATACGCTTTTGAACGGCAGAGTAGATGGACCAGAACTTCTCTTGAGGTTGAATTTTCTCTTCTTCTGCAGTACCCTCCCGTACCAACGTAATATTTTATCCAGCGCTTTATTTTATTTACAATAATTATAATTCCAGAGCAGGCGGTTCTGACATTAATTTCGATTGTATTAGTAAAATTCTGTCAAAATTCTGAGACCATCACAATAGTGTGTTCGTTTTATATGCTTCTTGTATGCACACTATTAGTTGCATTTATATTGGTATGTAACTTTTTTAGTCTTTGGGTAGTTATGTATGAATAAATAAAAGAAAATACGATTTTCTTACGTCCAAAAGTGACTCTGGATACCACAACATCAATATGATCACTGACCTGAAACAAAAATGAAGCGTTAACTTTGAATACAGATATACAGGATATTTCCAAAACATGGGGCACAAATTCAAGAGGTCATTCTTTGGAGTTGGGTCTTAATATGACGATGTCTATAAAAAATAATTATCTCATTTAGTTCACTCAGGATGGACGATATATCGCTAACATGTGTAATAATGGGCTGATTATAATTTTTGTGTCACCTTGATCCTCTATCTGAAAAATATATTCTTGTTTAAATTAGATGATAAATTGAACAGATTTTGAGAATGACGACACGCTTTTGCGAATGTAAGCTGTTTAATCTACTGACCAGAGATAAGCGGGTGTACTTCTGGCAGCGCGTAGCTGAGCGAGTTTGAGTGAACTCGGTGACGCAGATCATACCAAAAATTAGCAATTTCGATTAGGGACTAGTCAGACACCAAAGAACTAAATGAGACAAATCTGTTTTATGGACTGTCACAACGGGCTCCTACTAGTAAGTATGCAGTGATAAATTCTTAGGCTTATAAGGGTTGTCTACGTAATTTTAGAACAACAGATTTCCAATGGCGTCCATCGAGCGTTCCAAGAATAACATACTGCGACATTATTTACCCTCCATTTTTAGATTCGGTATTTATAAAGCGCTGACAAAGATTTCAAAGTTCTTTCTGGAGACTAGTAGAAGCAGAACCATATTTCGACACCTTTTCAGAAACAAGGTTGTTATCTTTTTAAACTACAATTAACCTTATTTTGCAAAGGTAAATCTATTAAATCGTACATATGTGCATTCGATGGGACTTCATTTTTATATAAAGGCTTCACCTTTAATGCGATCTATCTATGTAATTCATCACGCCCTGAAATTAAATCTTTAACATTTGACAACTTCGAAAAACGTTTCAAAAATCTGCTTTTGAAGTGGCAAGAGTGAACATGCTTCTGCTAATAAAGCTGTATTTATTCACCTATCAGAGTAATTACATTATTGAAACGGACAATTTCTCTGAAAGCCGACGTACTGCTTAGTGTCACTGAAATATGATACATGATATAGCAAGTCCAAGGCTACCATGATCAAAGCCATACTTAGCAAGATTTTTAATGAGGAGGGTGTGAGACACAAAAATCAAACGCCTTCATGAGATCATAAAATGCTGTCCTTCCAACCCTACCAGCATTGAAGCAACTCTGAACATACGCCACAAGTTGCACTGCATCTAGTGCTGTAGATTAAATTAGTTTAATTGTCATTTATCTATCTTTTTCATATTTGTATTTATTTTTGTAGGGGTTATGTGGAGGAGTAGCTTTTGCTGTACTTTATTATTACCATTACTATTTCAGAAATGCTCAGGGTACAAATAATGTTGGCTCCATGTTTTGGAAACACCCTGTAGATACTTTTCTAAATGTTTCTATATTCACATACAGAGGTTACCCGGGAGATAGGAACAAATCAGATGCATGAGAATAACAGATACGGTTCTCTTGGCAGAAGACCATTGTCATAAAACGCGTGAATGCACCTTCTTTCCTATAACTATAGTAGGCAAAATATGAGAGGCTGACGGCGAGCCACAGCAATTAAGACTCTAATGTTCCCAGAAAAGTCTGGTCGTAAGAACAGTTATAAATTCTAGCTTCCATTGCATAACCTTTAAGTCTATAAAGACATTCATCTACACTCTTGCAGGCTCCTAGTCTCCTCGTAATCTCTAAAAGTAAAGTCAAACTCAAAGCACCCATTTCAACCAGCGAATGGCCGTTCACTAGCCATTGCAGGAAAGAAAAGTTTATAAATATTTTACGGATGCTTTATCTCTATTGCGCATTCCGGTCGTTAAAAGTAACCGATGAAAATTGCTGGAGGAGGAGGAAATCGCCGGTCCACTCCGAAATAAGAAGTGAACACGTACATTTAAGAGCGGCATTCAAACGCGTCTTTTATGAACATTCCAGGATTCCCCAATTTCACAAAAAAATATGATGACAGACTAGCAATTCCATTGACTGACAATCACATGACATTTTCCGATATTCTGTATCATACTGCTCGACGAATATGTAGAACAAGCAAACACGGTGTGTAAAATTGAGATACGCTTCTGTAAAGAATACGGTCACTTTTTCCTTTCGTGTGGATAAGAGTAATAATAATAATAATAATAATGGTATAGTTAAAGAATGGAGAAAAAACATTAGACTAACCACATATAATGACAGATAGGCAAAGTAGAACTGATAGAGAACCACACTCACATCTAAGGATCGGAAGAAAGGTTGAAGAACTACATCAGAATCTAGGAAGAATTAGAAAATACATAACAGAAGAAGTAACAACAAACAAAACAAGGAACAAGGTTAAACGAATTATGCGACGGTATGAGCCTGTAAACAAGACAGCTGAGGAGGTAGCTGACATAATTAAACAGAAGATTACCATACATATATATAAAAACAAGTTGCAAAGTTTCGTTAAAAGTAGGCAGAGAACCTGTGACAACAACTTATTCATAGCAAATCAAGCAGTTTTTTACAGGAAAATAACACAAGCAGATACACCCGCAGTAGATGACAACATCGACATCAAAGACGTAGAAAGATATTAGAGTAACATGTGGTCAAATAGGCAAGAGCATAATAAACATGCGGCGTAGATTAGTACGGTAGAGAAACATGGAAGCCATATTACTGCAAGCAGCTCTCACACAATTCGGTTAGACACATTGAGCCGTACGTTAAGAAAGTTCCAGAATTGGAAACATAATATTACGTTTTCTAAATCTGTTTATCTGTTTATCTCCGACCCATGATCCTTTCCGCCACCGGCGTGTAAAGGAATAACTTTCTTGAAGCCAGAGGTCTCGGGCACAAAAAAGATCCGGCAGAATTACGGCCAATTACATGTCTAAATATGCGTTATAAGAAATTTACAGCATGCGTAGCAGAGCTGATAGAACAACACTGTATAACAAACAAGATTCTCCATGAGCAGCCGAGGGGATGTCTGCGTGGGGGTTATGGCTGTAAGGAACAGATAACAATAGACAAGAATAGACAGAATAGAAAGAACATGCATACAGCCTTCATAGACTATAGGAAAGCCTATGACAAGATACCACACTTGTGGCTGTTGGAGATATTACAAATCTATAAAATTCATCCACAGCTTATATATTGCCTATCACAACTGATGCAAATGTGGTAAACAAGCTTAAACGTACACTTACAAACTACAAAGCAAAATATGGCAACAGGTGACATTCAAATTAGATGCGGGATATATCAGAGCGATACATTGAGCCCCCTGTGGTTTTGTTTGGCGATAAATCCCCTGTCACACCTTCTCGATGAATCAAAATATGGTATCGAACTCCCGTGTGTTGATGGAACTACTCGTAGTGTTATTCTTAGTCACTGCTTTTACATGGATAACCTAAAGATCTACACTACAACTAAAGAGAAATTGAAAAAGATGATATATGTAGTAGAATAGTTCTCAATATGGAACTTGAGGTGATGAAATGTAAGATCCAACAAGTTTTCAAAGGAAAAGACGAGTATGATGGGGTCGGAATCCAGACAAAGAACAGCGGTGAAATAGATCTACCCAGAGAGAATGAAGTATATAAATATCTATATATATTATATATAGCATAAACAAGCAAAGTATACCATACATCCGTTAAAGAGGAGCTGAAACAGGAATATGAAGCCAGACTAAAGAAAATAGTTAAAACCGGACTGAACGCTATAAACATCGCTAGAGCTGTCAATTCATTTGCTATACCTATACTCACATACTCTTTCGGATTAGTTAAGTGGAGTGACACCGAATTACAACAATTAGATAGAAAGACAAGAACAACTATAACTAAGAATATATTAAATCATCCGAAATCGGCCGGGCAAAGAGTGAACCTACCACGACACTTAGGAGGCAGAGGATTCATCAATATTCGACAAATGCATAACAAGCAAATGAGTAAGATGAAAGCATACTTTGCACGTAAGTCTAACATCTCACCGGTACACAGAGGCATAACATAAGCAGACGAGAGCATCACCCCTTTAAACCTTCAGCAAAGTAACGATAGAAAGGAAATAAAATCATACATGCAGTTGTCACATGCGTGGCTGAGAGACGGTAAACTGTATCCAGAAACTGGGTTTTATGATAGCAATATACGATGGGATCGTCGCGACCAAGGATTATAAAAAATACATACTGAAAGATAGCTCTATCCAAAATGATCTGTGTTCGAAATGTGAAATGTATCAAAAAAGCTAGATCATATAACCAACGGTTGCCCAGCCCTCACACAATCAAGATATAAAGAATGACATCATAACATTGGGAAAGTTGTACACACAAACCTAGCTCTTGAATGTAATTTACCAAGTGAAATAATACCATATTACAAATATACAGGGTGTTTCAGTTTATTGTTGCATAACTTTAAGATTCGATAGAACTTTTAAAATTAATGCATAAAGTCCATATAAACATGGGTCGAACAATGCGTGGCTTCCGAAATACAAGGTGTTTAAATTTACTTTCTAAAATAGTTTTTTTTAAATATTTCGCACAATATTTGATGTATAACAGTGAAAATTGGTATACTAGGGTTTCTTGGTACGACAAAACGAACCACGTTTTACTGTAGCCGCTAGAGGGCGCTCTCTACTGTACCTGTAGTGTATTAAAATGACCGACAATTTTTTCTTAGTGCAATTTTTTGCTTTTTGAACAAAAAAAACTGATTCTTCGCACTTTTCTACATAAAAAATCTATCCTGTAAGTTTTCGTTATAGTTAGCCGTTTTTGAGATATTTCGATTTTTATGGTTCGATGCATTTTCGATTTTTTCGATAGTAATTAAGATAATCGTTTAGATTGTGTTTTTAAATACAGCAATAATTCCTAACTCAACAAATAAACACAAAAAACAGAATATTATTTTTTTTAATTTTCCAATATTATTTTTAACAAATTAAATTAATTATTTACAAGTAAAATGCTATTGGATAGTTAGGACAAACATACAAAATCTAAAGTAGTTGCTCGAAATGTAAACCCAATTGTTCAATACACAATTCACATCTACGAATGATCGAACGTGGTATAGCATTATTCAAATAAGGCCTTATTTCATCACATGCATTCCTGATTCTGTCTATTAGCATATCTCTTGTGGTTACGGGAGTCTGGTACACTTTTTCTTTTACAAAACCCCAAACAAAGAAATCTAATGGATAATATTCGTCCAGCCAGTTTCTAACTATTCTCGAATAATGAGCTGGACAACCATCAAGCTGGAACATATTTGCATGTTCAGCCTTTAAAAATTCCAAGAAGGTCGCAGCATTTAACCCTGCAGGCAAAAGGTAGGGTCCAAAGTCGATTACGGTAGATACCAATCCACACGTTCACACTAAATTCATGCTGAAAATTTCTTTCCCGAACCGCATGCGGATTTTCATGCGACCAAATATGTTGATTATGAAAACTTACCACTCCACGTCTAGTGAAGCATGACTCATCGGTCCGTAAAACGTTACTTAAAAACTCTTTATTATTATCAGTTCTATCAAGAATCCACTGACAAAATGTGATTCTTCGTTCTCCGTCCCCTGGCTGTAGTCCTTGCATAGGTTGCAAATGGTAAGGACGTCTATGGTCATTTCTAAAAACACGGTGAACATGACTTGTTGAAATTCCCAAGGCACCAGAAACTCTCCTAACACTTGTGGTCGGATCTCTATCAAACTCACGCAGAATCATACGGCTAAATCTGCGCTGACGAACATTTATGTTTTGACCCCTTTGGAGATTTCCAAAACCATTTTCAATTATTTGGCGATGCACTCTTTCAAATACTGAACGAGTTGGATGTCGTCTGTTTGGAAATCTTCGTGCGTATTCTCTGGCTGCTTCTGCTGCGTTTCCATTTACAAAGCCATACACATAATGAATATCCGCTAACTCTTGATTGGAGAATAAAAATGGCATTTTTATAAAACTTACAAAAAAAACAGGTAAAAGAAACTAAATTTCGTGCATTCACAATTGCAAACAAACGTTGCAGGTTTCAACAGACAACAAACCTAACTGTCAACTAATTGACGTTTAACCTTATTCTGCTTTCAATTACAAAAATATTTGCAGGTTCAGCGTACTTCTAAAAATTATCGCGATACTGACTTTTTAACGTTATTTTATCATAAATAATTAAAAATGCATCGAACCTTAAAAATTGAAATATCTCAAAAACGGCTAACTATAACGAAAATTCACAAGAGAGCTTTTTTATGCTGAAAAGTGCAAGGAATCAGTTTTTTGATTCAAAAAGTAAAAATTTGCACTAAGAAGAAATTTTCGGTCATTTTAATACACTACAGGTTCAGTAGAGAGCGCCCTCTAGCGTTTACAGTAAAACTATGCCCATGGTTCGTTTTGTCGTATCAAAAAACCCTTGCATACCAATTCTCACTGTTATACATCAAATATTGTTCGAAATATTTAAAAAAAACTATTTTAGAAAGTAAATTTAAGCACCCTGTATTTCGGAAGCCACGCATTTTTCGACCCATGTTTATATAGACTTTATGCATTAATTTGGAAAGTTCTATCGAATCTTAAAGTTATGCAACAATAAACTGAAACACCCTGTATACCAGATCGAATATTAGAAAACAACAAGTCAAAAATATACTGGGACAGGAGCATATACATAGACAACAGTAGAATGCAAATTGACGAGGAATTACACAATAGACCAGATATGTGTTTAATTGATAAGAGGCGCAAAATAGCGACACTAATAGACTTTGCCATCCCAGCAACACATAACACAAAAAGGACATACCAAAACAAAATAAGTGAATATATCAACCTGGCCACGCACTCAAAGAATACACACGATATCAAATCTGCAAAAACCATAATATGATCTACGGGCGTTATTCCACAAAGTACCGTCGATGGAATCAGAAAGTTACGTATAAATGAAAATGTCATCAAGATCATACAGAGGGCAGCGATACTCATTACTTATGGGATCGTTAAGGAAACTCTAAATTTGAAAGGATAGATAACCTGGAAGGCTTGCCCCTGTAAGGGCTGTCAACAGGCAAAGGACCGGTACAGCGACCGTGAGACCAGTAAATAGTAATAACACATGCAAGTACCTTTGAATGGCACAGCCCTGAAGGATAGACCACAAGAAATGAAAAATCGCAGAACTTTGCAAGGAGAATACGGCTACTCCTCAAAACGGAACTCAATAGTCACAATTTAGTTAAGACAATTAACACCTACGCATTATCTGCCTTGAACTACTCGTTCGGTATAGTTCGGTGGAGCAAAACTGACATCGAGGAACCAGAGAGGCGGATAAGGACTATGCTAACAAAAAAAAAGAGACACCCTCGCAGTGCAATAGAGCGCACAACCTTACCCCGACAATTAGAAGGAAGAGGTCTTATGGACATCAGCAAGCAGCTACGTCAGCAGATACTCGCCTTGCGTTCCTATTTCTTTCAGAATGCCGAGATCTCTGAGCTGCATCGCATTATATACTCGGTGGATGACACAATGCCCTTACACCTTAGTAGACGAGATGGCCACCGGAGCCATCAAACCAACGAAGAGAAGTTACAACGCTGGATTGAAAAACCTCTACATGGGAGAAATGTAAACGAGATTAGCCAAGAAAACGTTGACAAAACAGCGTCAAACAATTTTCTTGACTCAATCCAATTGTTTCCTGAGCCAGCTACGTAACGTTTGTAGTTACACACTTCACATATATCTTTAAACGCTCCTCTTAAACGCTTCTGTAATCACACGTAAATGTTCTTATTAGATTATAAAGCGAAAGAAGTTATTCGTGCCGGTGCTGTCACTGTAAATTGCCGGTCTGGAAATTACGATCTCCGCTTTCTGGCTTAGTGCGGAAGTTAGACACCTGCAGGTCTAGTGGACTGGAGCAGCCCGGCCCTGCGGAGCTTTTGCTCGGAATCTCCGAGATATATTATGATTCTCGTAAATAGTACAGTCTATAAAGGGAAAAATTGGAAGGGCTGATTTCAAAAAATGTAACTCAACTCACATAACGTTTATGGATTTTACCGGAAACCTTCAAGATATAATAATAGGCCGTTGTTTTACCTGGAGGGTATCAGCTATAAAGCTGGTCTCACCACCAAAGGCTATATAAAAAACAGTACAGTTTCCTTGAAGAAATATAGTTTTAGAAATTAAAATGAAATAAGTCAGCATTGACAAAATAATTTGAAACAATTGATTAATACTACTATACCTGTCAGCAGATTAAAAAGAAAATGCCAGGGACACACACTGACAAGGGACTCACTGAATGCGCGACACGATTAAAGAAGGCTCGGTACAACTTTCCACGAGACACATTGTAAAATATACAGGGTGTTCATTTTAAAACTTCCCACCATGGATTTATCAAAAATCACTGATTAAAAAAACCGTCAATGCATGCCAAAGATTGTCAATGGGGCAAACTTTTTACCCAAAAACTACTTTACCCCCTTTCACCCTCTACCTCCCAGGGTCATCCCCTTAAGATTTCTACAAGGGGTATCGAGTAATAGCTTGTTTGAAAGGTCTTTCGAAGTCCTTTATTTTTACGTTTGTTTTTTAAAAATCGGTCGATTCGTTTTCAAGGAAATTAGAAAAATATTTATATATCTTAATATGTTCATATGTTCAGAGAAAATAAAAACACTCGAAAATATCTGTTTGGGAATGACCCTTTGGGGCCGAGGGTGAAAGTGGTGAAGTAGTTTTTGGTTAAAAAGTTGTCCCCCTTGACAAATCTTTTGACATGTGTCGGCGTTTTTTCTTTTATTTAGTGGTTTTCGAAGAATGCGTGGTGGACTTCAAATGAGCACCCTATATATGAACAGACCGATACTCTTTGAATGAAGACATTTCAAACGTATTTAAAAATTCTTATCAAAAACGAATTGCTTAACTTTCATTGCCAAACTAAATTTAGAAAGTGTCTCTTACATGATGGCAGTTGTTGTATAAATTGGGTGCGATATAAAAAAAATGACTTCATAACTTCGGCAGTTTTATGATACGTTATGTCTAGAGAAACTAAGCTTACTATTTAGATATAATGGTGTTTTTGCCATCAGTATAATGTGAACCAGTGACATTAAATGAACTATTCACATTTGCCGCATCGTAATCTGAATTTATTTCTTTCAAATGACTAGAAATTCATCTTCTTGCTATACCTAGAGAATACACAACACAACTGTTCTGAACCTTTTGAATCCTATAAAAACCAAAAACAGAATTTCCATTATGTATTTTACCCAAAATCAGAGATTCAGTAAGTCTAATTTTCGTTTTTTGTCAGTGAACGGCTTTATAACTGTAAAGAACTTCTCTTCTCGATTATAAGTGCATACCGCCGTCAGACTGCCAAACTATCTGTTAGAGTCTTAATGTGGATAAAGTGTACACTTCAAGCAATATTAACAATAATAAGATATGGGATATTGGAATACTATTATATCGGAGATATACAGCAGGCCATATATGCTGCAATATGGTCATAATGACTGAGATATAGCTATAAATATATCCAAATATAGCTCATTTATATACCAAACTAACACGTTAAGCAGTGACTGACACTGGACTATTCCAATAGTTCTACAAGGATATTACATTCTTGAGGATTCTCTAAAAATTTCCGCATCCAGAGATCAAGCTTGAGGTACTGGAGGAAGCATTTTATGCAAACTTCCATCTTTAGGCCTCCAGAGATGGGTGACTACCTTTCTCTATCGCCACACGATATCCATCGAAATTGACGGGTTCTGCTCTTCATCCAACAATATCAACACGGGTATTCTCCATGGATCGTTCTTGGCTTCGACATCGTCCCTCTTACATACCAACGACTTTCTTTCCTGTATGATCAGTACGATTCACAGCTTTGCTGATGACAGCACTCTAAATGCAGGAGTTCAGAGGGACACGCCAATCTGTACCGGTGAGCTGGAGTCAAGAAGTCTAGCAGCGTTTTTCTCTCTGACGAGAGACCTGGAGGTTATCACTGCTTGGGGACTCAGCAATTTGGTACAGTTGAATCCTTCTAACAAACTTGTACTGTACCTTGACAAGCACTAAGTGTCCTAACGCTTATCCCGTTTTGCCCGCGCGAATACTTCGTATATAAAAAAATGTATAAGGGTAAGTCGGGATGTATACCTCAATATCAATCTGTAGACTTTGCTGCCGCCCTCATAGCATGAGAGAAACGAAAAATATATTCAGTAATTGAGTGAATAGACGTCGCGAGCTAAGGCGAAAAGCAAACAGTTGTCGTCGTAAAGCAATTATCAGCTTGAAAGCAGTAACAAAGGCGTGACTGAGAGGTCAGGAATGTTTGCGAAATGCTTAAGGTTAAGACAAATGAGTTTGGTAGGAGGCAGCATCGCCTCCAAGTCCTCGGAAGACAACCGGCTCGGAGTGTTTGTATACAACAACGCCATGATTAAATTCGACGACTGCTGTGGCTGATTTAATTCATTGTAGATTTTAGTATAGCTACTAGTAATACGGACTTGTCAGGGATTTCTTCAGTGAGGAGAGCTGAAAACGCAATGATCGAATTTGCTGCTGGAAGAGTAACTATATTTCTACTATAGAGTCAAGTAGCTGGTTTTGTAGCTCATTTAATTCATTGTAGATTTTCGTATAGCCACTAGCAATACGGACTGGTCAGGGATTTCTTCGGCGATTAGAGTTGAAAACACAACGATTGAATTTGCTTCTAGAAGAGTAGCTGCATTTGTACTATAGAGTCAAGTACCTTCTGTAGCAGCTGATTTAATTCAGTGTAGATTCCAGTGTAGATACCAAGATTTCGGGTTTGCCAAGCATTTTTCCGTTAAGGAGTGGTGCGAGCACAATGGTGGAATTTCCTTCTGATTCTGGAAAAGTAACCTTATTCCGACTGTGGAGTCAAGTATCAGGTCTAGAAGCTGATCAAGAAGCTGACTTAATTCATTGTAGATTTTACTATAGCCACTATCAATAAAGACTAGTCAGAAATTTCTTCGGTGATCATACTTGAAAACACAATGATCGAATCTGTTTCTACTATAGAGTAAATTAGCTTGTATACTAGTTGATCTAGTAGCTGATTCAATTCATTGTAGATTTTAGTGTAGTCAGTTTTTTAGGGATTCCTTCGTCAAAGACTGCTGGACACACAATAGTGGAATTTCCGTCGGATTTTTAAAGAGGGACTACACTTTGACTGTGAAGTCAAGCAGCTAGTGTCATAGCTGATTCAACCCGTTATAGATTTTAGTAATGCAGTTAGACTATGACATCAAGTAAGTTCTCTTCTGTAACACAGGTAAAGTTCCTAGCTGAGGAGCTTAGTCGATGTATTTTGGAATAGAGTGAAAGCCTTGCATACGTAGGAGAAATTTTCCAACTCGGTATTTCCCTTCATGATCGCGTATAGAAAATTTATATTTCGGAGTAGACTAAGCCCTGAATACTATCTGGGTCTGACAGGTTTGCATTTTAATTTATACGCTTGCCGACCTAAAAAATTACAACTTTTAACCGAGATGTGAAGCACTGTGTTTAACCATTTTTGGGGTTTCTCAAAATTTAAATCCCCCACAACTTGAAAATAGTTACTCAAAAGTTACTCAAAACCTTATTAGTTCAGAATGATGCAGGAAACTAACAAATAAGTTTGTTCTTAGCGGAAAATCAACTTTTTTAATTTATTTATAAAGCTGTGTAAATGGATTTTTACTGGGTTGCCGCCCGGCGACCTCTTGATTCATATTTCATGAGATTTTCAGCCTGTCTAGAAACAGACAACAAATCCCTTATACATAACGATAGAGGCTGTATACGGTTTTTCGGATGGGCGCTTCCTCAAAAGCGAGTATATTAAGTAAACGACAACATGACAGACTGGAAAAATGGGCACCGGGAGATTCGAACCCGCATCTCCTCCATTCCGTGAAGCCTACAGAACCAGCTGCTAACCTGGTTTCAGGATCGACTATCAGGGGCAGGTTCAGTCCTGCCCACGCACTGCTTCTTTGTTTTCTCAAGCTGCTTTGGTGCCTCTTCTGGTGGCGGGTCAAGTGGAATATCGGATTGGTAAGGTACCTCCAATTGCTTTCTAGTTGCATCACGCTGTCTCGTGGGCGCACACCACAGTACCACCGTGCGAGGACAGTAACTTGTATTCAGCTTTTTGGATGAGTCCATTCGCAACAGCGAATATGTTTATGGTATTATCGAATCCCTAATATTATGAGATTAGCTGTTGGCGAAACTGACCTCCCTGATTAATAATATGTTCTATATTAGTACGAAAATACTACACATTAACAACATGCACTTAAGTGTCCAAATTAGTGTATTACGAAATATATAAGTTATATTATTTATTAATTTATGCGGTAATAGCACAAGATAGATAGAAGTGTGGTAAATCTTTTTTTATATACTCCAACGACCACGAAGGCCTAACGCCTGAACACCCATTGGGTACCGTGGGGCTATGGGGGATACAGGGGAAAGGGGGAACGCCACACGGACTCTGGCGAGGGAACACGTGTGCATGCGACAGGCACACATTCTGGCTCCGCCTACGAGATCCGCCAGGTGGTACCTTCGCGTTCGACAGTCAGACACCGTCTACCACCAACGGACAATCACAATATCCATAGACAAGAGAAAAAATTCCTTGTGGGACGGGATTCGAACCCGCACAGCACACGGCGACTGATCAGGTGACCGAGGAGTCTACTACTGCGGCCACCGCTGCTGCCTGACACGTACTTCAATTCAGAGCTGCGCAGTCCACAGATGGGAGTTTCTCTGAGACGAATTTCCAAGGAGTTTTGTAGATATATAGAGTGATTCAATATTTACAGAGCCGGGACTGTATCAAAAAAAAAGTTACTATAAAGATGTGACCTAAATTTTCGCATTACCAAGATATATGGCATTGTTTATTTCTACTCCACTGATGAGGCCTAATAAGGATAAAACGTAAACAGTGTTCAAATAAAGTTATTCTGGGAAGAGATTGCTCTCATAACACACTACATGCAACAGATTTTTCTGTCAAAATTTGCTGAAGGACTGATCTATGTAAAATTGGATACCTTATTCAAAAATGTAGATTGAGTCTATACTTTTCACGCCTTCGAAACAACGTCTAGTACAGATTTGGATGCAGTGCAATGGCATCAAAATACGTCCAACTAGTGTTTTATTAAGATGGGCTACCATCCAAGAAAAAGTTACCTAAATTTGTCAAATTTTAGTAATTATAGAGACATACAGACCAGTGACGACCGTAGCCGGTTTCTTATCTATCCGAGGTTAAAAATTGCATCGGGGATTTTGCCTGAGTGTAACTTCTGGTCACCTATTCTGTGATATTAGATTTCGTATTTTATGTAGAAAATTGGTACTTTTGGGGTCTTCCGTGGATCGCAGCGAAATGTTAGTACCATGTTCGGGATGTAAGCACCCAAGAAACGTGTTTAGATCTTTTACAGATAGGAAGATCATTTGAAAATTTTCATCGATGGTATTAATTTAAAATGATTTCAAAGTTCCTATTTCTATTTTAACCACCACTTGTAACAAACAGCAAGATTCGGTGCACCAAAGTTATTTCAGTCACTTATTTCGAATGAGGGCATCACAATATTCTAAGAGCACATCGGCACCGGTATTCTGTAAAAAACCTATAAACGTAAACAACCTATAAAATGTCATCTTGCAGACTAGGTAGTTTTTCAGGTGCTAACAGTCAGTCCACGTTTGCTCACTAGGATCGTGTGAACTTTCATCTATGGAGGAATGACTCAACTACACGCATGGTTGGTTGCATATGTTTTGTGAATCAGAGTAGTCTGTAGTTTTCATCTCTGAGGAGAAAGTTGGTTGAATAGCAACATCGCATCAGGATGATTATGTGTATTGGTCTGCATGTGTATAAAATCGGTGATTTAAAGAGATAAATTACGATTTTTACGTTTTTTTGTGTTTTCAAAGACTAAGGAGAATTACGGGAAATTACCAGCATGCCCGCGTTATGTGTAACTACTGTTAGCATGTATACGTATATGATTTGTAATTCGATAGTATAAAGTGAATATAATACTTCTTATCTCTCTCATTTTTGAAATTCAGCAAATTTGCATATTTAACTTCAATTTTCTGAAATGGCCGATAGGGTGCGTAACTGCAATCTTGAATCTAAGAAAGTAATGTTCCTGTGTATTCCTCTGTATTAACCAAACACAAAAATATCTGATCTTTACATTCGAACCTTTTTTGCTTAACAATTTTCTCTTGGCCGCTTGTTTTTCCCTCAAGCCTCTACGATAGGGAGGTTCCCAGATATAGTACCTCGAATACTTAGTTGGCCACCCTGTACAAAGGGATAATTTGTCTGCCTTGTTTTGAGCATGGTCATATATTAACATTCGACTTGTTCACCAGTAGTGAAACACTCAGCTCTTGCAAAATATTTTGAGTCTGGGATATTTTTATCTGCGAAACTTTTATAAATAACATTGACAGCGCCTAATATTTCACAGCTGATCAAGTGCAAGGGAAATTATCGTAACCCAGGGGAAGGAAGTTACATCAAGAAAAGATATATTGTATTAGTGCGCTACTGCTGAGTTTACAGATGGCTTAGCTTTATAAGAGCCCACAAAGGCAGCCAGATTATCTCCGAGTTAATTTAATAGCAGCCGAATCGTCGATTCGCCGCTATTTCATCCCCTCCTTAGGTGGTTGACTTAATGAACCATGAATTTTTAATTAAAATTTTCTTCAGCGTCACTGAAAAATTCATTCCGAAATTGAGATAGGCAATTACTTACTAATTTACGGGCACCATGTCGAATAAGCAACTGCGCATTGGCGTAGAAGCAATTTTAAATAAACTGGTCTTGCTATTCTATTTCACGGTCCGCACCAACTAACCCAGCGGGAGCACCTTCGAAGCAAATCAATGAGATTTTCGTTCCAATCGGTGGTAGAAATGTGAGAGTCAAAATCTAAGATTTAATAGAGGTTACCCAGGAAAACTCAACACCGAGTAGACGGTACGTTATATCGCCAATACACTAGGCCTGTAAATTAATGTAGCGTTTGACCTGGCAACACTGGAAGGCGTCGGGCTTGGAGGGGAGACCGAGGAACATGTGATCCGCCTTTAGCACAAGTTTGAACTCGCTCAAGTAATTTGGTTGTCCATACAGATTTTTTTTTGTGAAACACTTTTTTCTATTGTGATTTAAAATGCATGACATCAATTCGAGCGACGGTGCGCTATCAGGTTTGCTTCAGACTTGACCCATTGCAACGGGAACTCTTGCTGAACTGCAGCAGGCCTACGGAAATAGTGTCTTGTCAAAAACCGAGATTTTTTTGGCGGTTTATAAGCATTTTCAGATGGGAAAGAGTCGATTGAAGATAGACCACCAAGCGTAAGGCCTTCATCTTCAAGAACCGATGAAAATATCAACAAAAGACACGGGATCTTGTGTGTTCACATCGTCGGTTGGCAGTCAGAATGATCAGGAAAGAGTTAAATTTGACTCACACCAACGTCCATCACGAGGTTTTTGGCCAGCAAAGACATTAATGTGGCTCGTTACTCGCCTGACTTGAGTCCTTGTGACTTTTTTCTCTTCCCGAAGTTGAAAAATCACCTCAAGGAACTCAATTTTGGGACAGTCAGAAACATTGAAACTGCTGAATCAGACCAGCTGAAGGCTAATTCCAGTATC